AGGGAGGCCCTAAACCCTAAACCCTAAACCCTACACCCTAAACCCTAAACCCTGCACCCTAAACCCTAAACCCTAAACCCTACACCCTAAGGGGTTGAGGGTTTGGGACTTGGGGTGCAGGGCTTCGGTGCTAAGGCAGCGAATCCCATCAACTCCTGACTGATAACTAAGGAAGCGCGCGATAATGCAAGCCTGAGAGGGTTTAGGGTTTGGGGTTTAGGGTTTAGGGTTTCGGGTTTAGGGTTTAGGGTTCAGTGTTTTGGGATGTTTTAGGGGCCTCGGTTTTCAGCTTTAGCGGCCCTAAACCGAAGACCTAAAAACCCTCCGAACTCTGTAAACACTATAAACCCTATAAGCCCTATAAAGCCCCATAAACCCCAAAGATGCTCGAACCCTCACAGCCCTCAACCCCAAACCCTAAACCCTAAACCCTGTTTAAGTTGGGGGCTTGCACTTTAGAGTGAGCGAGCTTCGAGCTTCACCCCATGGAGCCTGTATCCCTAAACGCCCTAAACCCTAAACCCTAAAACCCTAAGCCCTAACCCTAAACCCTAAACCCTAAACCCTAAGCCCTAAACCCTAAACCCTAAGCCCTAAACCCTAAGCCCTAAACCCTAAACCCTAAGCCCTAAGCCCTAAAGCACCTAACTCCGAGCCCTGAGCACCCGAAGCCCTAAACCACCCCAACTCCTACCTCCTAAACGCCTAAGCTGCATTTTAGGGCTGGAGTTGTTTAGGGTTTAGGGTTCAGGGTTCAGGGTTTAGGGTTTAGGGTTTAGGGTTTCGGGTTTCGGGTTTAGGGTTAGGAAGTTTAGGAAGTTTAAGAAGTTTAGGAAGTTCAGGGTTCAGGGTTTAGGGTTTAGGGCTTAGGGTTTAGGGTTTAGGGCTTAGGAAATCCCTGTGGCCCGCTTTCACGGAGTCTCTGGGCGGGGGGCCTCCTGAGGGACGCCTCGATGACATCCAGCGTCATCTTGCCGAAGTGGTAGAGCGTCCTTTGACTTTTCGGGCCCTAAACCCTAAACCCTAAACCCTAAACCCTAAACCCTAAACCCTAAACCCTAAACCCTAAACCCTAAACCCTAAACCCAAACCCCTAAACCCAAAACCCTAAACCCTAAACCCTAAACCCTAAACCCTAAACCCTAAACCCTAAACCCTAAACCCTAAACCCTAACCCTAAACCCTAAACCCTAAACCCTAAACCCTAAACCCTAAGCCCTAAACCCTAAACCCTAAACCCGCTTACAGGGGCCAAGGCTAAGTCCAAAAAATCCTGAAGCCCGCGACCTTACATCCTAAAACCCTGAAACCCTGGAACCTGAAACCCTGAAATGTAAAATTTTTAAACCCTAAACCTGGAAACCCTTGAACTCTAAAACCCTGAAACACTCAAACCCTGAAACCCTCTACCACTAAGCCCAAGAGCAACCATTCCTATCAAGGGTACCCAGTTGTGTTTTAATAGGGCTTTTGCTCATGAGAATTCTTGAGATATTGGTTAGGGTTTTGGGGTTTAGGATTTCAGGGTGGCTCCTGGTGCTCGGATACTGTAGGGCTTACACAGCTTACGAAGAGTTGAAGGGTTGCAGGGTAAACCATCAACCCTAAACCCTGCATAAACCCCGAAGCCTAAACCCTAAACCCTAAACCCCAAACCCTAAACCCTAGTCCTGATGACTAAGCCTCCATATCGTCGAGGCACCACGCTTCGAAGAGATCTCCGACAAAAAAGCTCGTCTCGCTCCTGGCTTTCGGGGCTTTTCTAGGGTTTAGGGTTTAGGGTTGAGGGTTGAGGGTTTAGGGTTTAGGGTTTAGGGTTTAGGGGTTAGGGGTTAGGGTTTAGGGTTTAGGGTTTAGGGTTTAGGGTTTAGGGTTGCTGTACTTTTGGGGGTTTAGGCTGTAGGGTTTAGGGTTTAGGGTTTAGGGACACCTAGTCCGCGCAAAAACAGGCTAAGTGTCTACGGGCACAGCACCGCAAAGCAAAGAGTTTGGGGATATTCGCCTTCGAAGTCCCATCTTGTTTATGGCTTAGGGTCACAGATTGGGATACTTGGGGGTTTACGATATTAGGGGTATCTTTTTTGCAGGTCCTAAACCCGAAGCCCCAAACCCTAAACGCTAAGCCCTAGACCCTATTTCTAGTTCATGGTTGGGAAAACTTTAAAAAAATTAAATGTCTATTCCTTATTGGGTTTAGGTACCCTTAAACATGTAATATGTTACCCAACTATGACAAAGATTTGGGGGTCTAGATTAGCCCCATTTCGAACATCCAAGATCAACCTGGGCCTGTCTAAAGAGTGAACTACCTCGACCCTCCTCGACTGTGAGGGTTAGGGCTTAGGGTTTAGGGTTTAGGGTTTGGGGTTTGGGGTTTGGGGTTTAGGGTTTAGGCCCGATGCCATAAAACAAACAAATCCAAAACCCTGTACTGCTGTTTGCCCCTTTGAGAAGGTATTCTTCCTGATTCGAGCAATATGGGGTTTTCTTTCTTTTAAGTGCTGGAGGTTCTTCAGCAAATAGAAGTATCCCCACAACTCTGAAACCCAAACACCCAAACACGAAGCTCGAAGCCCAACCCTACAGCCAAGAGCACCGAGCGTGCTGGGAGCCTGAAGCCCCCAACAGAAACTGCTCTCTCTTCTCGTACTTTCCTGAACTCACTCACCATAAACCCTAAACCCTAAACCCTAAACCCTAAACCCTAAAGCCCCTTTGGCCCTAAAGATCCTCAAAACCCTCAAGCCCCGAAGAAACCCTCCAAGCCCCAAACACGCAAACCTTTCAAACCCTTGAAAACCTGGAAGCCCTCGGGACCCTGATAAAAGCCCCAACCCCTAAGAAACAGAACCCAAAAAACTTTTTCTGACTCATTTGAAAAACTCTACACCCTACCCTCAACCCTAGACCCTAGACCCTAGACCCTAGACCCTAGACCCTAAACCCTAAACCCTCCGAACCCCAAAACCATTTTGACTCACGCGCCTAGACAGCGCAACTTCCCGCTGATCCTCCCCTTCTTGGACCTCCAGGTTGAAGGTTTAGGGTTTAGGGTTTAGGGTTTAGGGTTTAGGGTTTAGGGTTTAGGATTTAGGGTTTAGGGTTTAGGGTTTAGGGTTTAGGGTTTATAAGGTCTAGGGCGTCAGGGTTGAGGTTTAGGAGTTGCAGGGTTGGAGGGTGTAAGGCTTAAGGATTGGGGTCCTTTTTACCTACACCCCAAAATCTCAAACATCAGAGATAGCCCTAAACCCTAGACCCCAAAATCTCAAGCATCATAGACAAAAGACAGTCCGGGGAAACCTTCTTATATCACGCGCACCGTGCTTCTACTCTACAAGGTTCCAAGTTCGTTGATGGGGTTTAGGGCTCAGGGTTCAGGGTTCAGGGTTTGGGGTTTGGGGTTTAGGTTTCAGCGGGCGTGCCCAGGATTCGCACCGAGAGTTCAAAGGGCAGAAGAGAAGTACATCCATCAGCTTGTGTTGGTTTGACCCAAGACCTGACAACCTCAAACCCTTAACCCAAAGACCTCAACGTAGGAACCTCATAACCCACCGAGATGCCCTGAGACCCTAAACCCTAAACCCTAAACCCTAAACCCTAAACCCTAAACCCTAAACCCTAAACCCTAAACCCTAAACCCTAAACCCTAAACCTTCTAATTCCAAGCTATATTATAAATCTTAAAAATTAAAAACCCTAACTTCGGACCCACGGCCCTACTTGGAGGATCCTGGGTACTTGTACCCCCAATTACTTGGGGGTTTAGGGTTTAGGGTTTCGGGTTTAGGGTACTTAAAAACCCCACCTATAGCTGTACTTGTAAGCCAACCAAGTCCCCTAAGTGGGGTATAAGTAGACTTCGAATTGGGGTTATAAAAGTACCCTTGAACCTCCAAGCAACCACCTCAAGCAGTTCTAAGCCGCCTTGCAACCCTAAACCCTAGACCCTAAACCCGAAACTCTAAAACCCTAAACCCGAAAATCCTAATGTCGAACCCAATAACCCACAGCCCGACACTTCTGGCGGCCGAGCTGCATGAAACTGGTACAGCCGCGTCAAGCCTCAAAGGGGAGCGACTGGAGGGTTGGTTGAAGGGGTTTAGGGTTAGGGTTTAGGGTTTAGGGTTTAGGGTTTAGGGTTTAGGGTTTAGGGTTTAGGGTTTAGGGTTTAGGGTTTAGGGTTTAGGGTTTAGGGTTTAGGGTTTAGGGTTTAGGGTTTAGGGTTTGGGGTTTGGGGTTTGGGGTTTAGGGGTTAGGGTTTAGGGTTTAGGGTTTAGGGCTTAGGTCGGGTAAACCCGAAACCCTAAAGCGCTCGCAGCTTGGGCACACAGGCTTCCAGGCGTTAAGGGGCTTCGAGCTTCGGGTACCAGCAAGCACTCTTAGTATGGGTCTATGGATTGCAGCTGAGCTCCTCTGGAGCGCTTTTCTAGCCCTAAACCTTAAACCCCGAAACCCTAAAACGCTAAGCCCTAAACCCTCAGCCCCTAAAACTGCCAAACCCAAAACCCTAAACAAGGGCACCCTCCTTGTCTCTGCCATCAACCCAAATCCAGAAGCTCCAAGCCAACACCCCTTTAAGCCCCAAAATCCCTTAAGGCCCTTAAAACCCCCCTAAAGCTCCTAGAGCCCTTCACCATTGGCACCTTTTCGTCCGCAATTTCCGGCGCAAGGTCCACTTGGGGGTTTGGGGCTCAGGGCTGAGGATCTGTCTTCAGCTGGGTTCTGGGGGACCCAGACCTGTCCTACACTGTAGGGGCTCTTGAGGCCCCTAAGCCTAAACCCGGAACTTGGGATGTTGCCCCTTAAGGGGGCACATCCCATTCCGTAACCTTGGACTCGGTCTTGCAGAGTCAGGCAAGCGCTCGGGATTCCTGTGCTGCGCTCGCACCAGGGTGCCCGTTGTCTTCCAGGCCGAATGCCAGCGTCATCGCACGGCCACGAAATTTCCCCCTTTGTCTGGGTCACTTTCCACCTTAAAGAGGGTTTGTCCAAAATTTAATTTAAGGGGACGTTTCCTTGCGTGGCATCCGCAGTATCCTCCGGTTCGACAGCAAGCGCAGGATCTGTATGCTCCCGCGCGCGGCCAACTTCTGTCGAAGCGTGTGCCCGTACCTCTACTACAGAGAGCACGGGTGCGCGCACACCGAGACCAAGCCTTAATCACCCTACTTTAAACTACACCCTGAAAAATATATGCTTTGTAGGTATAAGTAGCTATAATCGGAACCCAGAACCAGAAAAAGACTCCAAAACCCAGTTTACTTATTTTGACTACAAACTCTAGAAAGCCAGAGCAGAACCAGCAAAAACAAAAAAACAAAAAAAGGCGCTGACATTCTCTTCAGGATGCCGGTTGCTGATGTTTCTGCGGGCGCCGGCCTCCAAAAGCAAGCGCGCCAGGCGAACGCCGCCTCGGACGTCGGTCGCATGCCAGAGAGGCGTCTGCCCAAGATGGTCCCGCGCCTCCAACGCCGCCCTCGCCTGCCTCAAGGACCCAAAATGAACCCCAAAACTTGGGGGGGCATATTCCCTTAGACTACTAGAATTCCCACATTTAGGTATATGTATATATAATATATGTATATGAGCCCTAAACCCTAAACCCTAAACCCTAAGCCCTAAACCCTAAACCCTAAACCCTAAACCCTAAACCCTAAACCCTTTTAGGGTTCAATTGCGTCCCCAAGGTGCAGCAAGGCCATGGCCACACGGACCTCATCGCCGGCGCAGGCAACGGACAGCGGCGTCATGCCTGTGGAGTCTCTTGCCTCCAGTTCCGCGCGCGCCGCCAGCAACACCCGCACCTACTACTTGCTTAAGGGCCCCCCAAAAATTAAAAATAACAATCCCCACTTTCGCAATTCTGAGGAAGAGTATTTGTCTTGCTTTTTTGTTTTTGTTCTTTTTGTCTCCTTTTTCTTTTTGGGGGGGGGGGGGGTTTGAAGGCAATTCGTAGGCACCACTTTCAAGCGGCCGAGTCTGGCTGCCACACACAGAGGCGGCTCGGCGAGGCCCGTCTCTGCCATCGCCTGAAGAAGCAGGCGCACCTTGTCGGCACTTAGGAGGGTTTAGGGTTTAGGGTTTAGGGTTTAGGGTTTAGGGTTTAAGGTTTAGGTCAGTTAAAAAATAGATGTTTAGCTGCCTTATTAAGAAGCCCAATAAGCCCAAAAAGGCTAAGGATCTAAAGTTACAGTAAAGCACCACAAAGGCACGATTTTCGGATGGTTCTCAACACATGCTGCCAGGATGGGCGTGCGGCCGTTGACGTCGCGCGCGTTCGGGTCCGCCCGGGCTCTCAGCAGCAGAGCTACCAGCGCCTGCTGCCCAAACTCGCAGGCTGTAAAGAGGGGCGTCTCCTCATCGTAGTTCGTGGCCTCGAGGTCTGCCCGCGCGCGCAGGAGCAAGCAGGCGACGTCCAGGTGCCCTTCGGCGGCCGCCAAGTACAGAGGGGTTTCCTCATCGCTGCCGCAGACGTCCATGTCTGCCCTGGCCCCCAACAGGAGGTCCACAATCTCCGGATGGCAATGTATGGATGCAAGCAAGAGGGGCCTGTCCCCCTCCCCGTTGGGCGCGTTCGCATCCGCTCGCGCCTCGAGGAGCAAGCGCACGGCGTCGCCGTGGCCTTCGGAGGAGGCGTAGCACAGGGGGGTCTCGTCCTCCTCCTCGGAGTTGGCGCCGATGTCCGGGCCTGGGCTCTGAGATTCCCAAAAGAATCCTCCTAAGCCCGAGGAAGGCAGAAAGAGCTCCACATTCCAAGGACCGATAAGAACGGGATCCTTAGATATCTCCCCTAAACTCCACTCTTTTTTTCTGCAGCCACCTGCTTAAACTATAGGCTACGCCCCCCAAAAACGCCATAAACATGTAGCAGGCCCCTAAACCCTAAACCCTAAACCCTAAACCCTAAACCCTAAGCCCTAAGCCCTAAGCCCTAAGCCCTAAAACAAAAAAAACAAAAAAAAAAAAAAAGAGGTCGAGAGACACTGGGGCCGCTGAAGGATCCGCTCAAGCTGTGGCACGTCGCCGCTTCCGGCCACCGCCGTCAGCTCCTTAAAGTCTGACAGCGAAATCATTCGGGAACCCTAAACCCTAAACCCATTCAGCCTCCAAGCGTCCTCCTCCTGCTCTGCGGAAGCACTGATGAAGCCCAACAAGACCAACCTAGGGTTTAGGGTTTAGGGGTTTAGGGGTTTGGGGGTTTAGGGTTTAGGGTTTAGGGTGTAGGGTTTAGGTTCAGGGTTCAGGGTTTAGGGTTTGGGGACAAAAACGCCTGAAATATCCACTCTGGATTTGAGGCTTAGGGATTCAGGGGTTTCGGATTGGGGTCTTGTTTCCCTAAACCCTAAACCCTGAACTCTAAACCCTGAACTCAGGACCTAGGCCGCCCCCCTACGTTGGGGGGCGGCGCTTAAGCCCTTCGACCTCGATGGCGCAAGCCGACCCAGGTCGCTCGCCCGCGTCCCACAACATGTCGGTAGCGCCCCCGGTACACCCCCACCAGGGCCCCAGCCCAGGAGGACCCGGACCCTCGCCGCAGCGTGCCCAAGGACCAGGGGGCCTCAGGCCAGGCCTAAGTTTTTAGAAGAGGACTGTTGTCTGAGTTTAGGCCTAAACCCTTAAAGGAATAGGTTTGGGTGGCTTTGCCGCTTGGACGGCGTGGGGTGGGAGAAAAGTGTCAGATGGCCCTCCACAATCGGGCCAAAGCTGCTCTTCGCACCTCACGACTTGTTCCGAAACCTAACCTTCACAGCATCTACGCCTTATCACAGCAAACCCCGAACCCTGAACCCTGCCCCGGCCGCCCCCCCCACCCCACCAGAAAAAAAAAAAAAAAACATAAAACATAAACCAAAACAAGAAGAGAATCCTCATTCTAAAAGCCCCCTGTTGAAGGGCACCCCACCCCCCGTACCCCATACCCCCAAAAAATATCCATTCTAGGATCTCCCCGTACCCTAAACCCTAAACCCTAAACCCTAAACCCCAAACCCCAAACCCCAAACCCCAAGGGCCCACCGAGCAGCTGAAGGTCCATAGCCGACTCCAGCTTCACCTTTGGGATGAAGCCATGGCTTGGGCTTTAGGGTTTAGGGTTTAGGGTTTAGGGTTTCGGGTTTAGGGTTTAGGGTTTAGGCTTAGGGGTTAGGGTTTAGGGTTTAGGGCTAGGGTTTTCGAGGTTTGGAGTTTGTAGAGTTTTGGGTTTTAGGGTTTGGGGCTTAGGGTGATCCCTACGATCGGGATCATCAACTGAAGCATACGTCTTTCGCACGCCAGGCACGTGGTCTTCCAAGTCCACGTTCTCGTGTAGGAGCCGTTGCCTGAACCGCGGCAGCCCGCACAAGCCCTCCAACCGCTGCTTCAAGTCTTGGACCTCGGTTTTAGGGTTTAGGGTTTAGGGTTTAGGGTTTAGGGTTCAGGGCTTAGGGTTTAGGGTTTTCGCCGGACGCCTACTTGGAGGTTCAGGGCACTTATTAACCCCATAACAACTGTGCTTATAACCATATTGGGGCACTTAAGGGGCTTATCAGTGGGTTGTGAGTGCAGTTAGAATCGGTTAATGAGGACCATGAATCTCCAAGTACCGATGCTGCTTGAACTTGTTTGGGTTTCGGGTTTACCCTAAGCTCTTAACCCGTAGGTTTTGGGTTCCCCGCAGCCTAGACCGGAAGGGTCTGTGAAAGAGGTTTGAGGAAGGGTGTACGAGGGTTTCACTGCTTTGTGAGCTTAGGGATTACCGGGATTGAGTTCTCCAGCAACCGAGGAATGGACTTCGGCATGTATGAGGAAGCCTCACCCTGCGAAATAAAGCAAAATTGTTAGGGGGTGCTTGGAATGTTCCCCCTTATACTAACAGTCCTTGATAGGGATTATAGTACCCCCGATTATAATCCTTATAAAAGGACTGCTAGTATAAGGGGGAACATCCCAAGGTTTAGGGAACCCTAAACCCCAAACCCTAAACCCTAAACCCTAAAGTTGCCATCATTGCTCCGAGGGGCGTTGACGACATCGTCCGTGGGAATGGAAGCTAGCTCTTCGCCGGAGGCCTTGAACACTCGCAGGAGCGCTGGCTCCTCCGTAGGCTGCTTGCGCTTCATGGCCCACGCGAAGCAGATGATGAAAGGGGTTTAGGGTGTAGGGTTTAGGGTTCAGGGTTCAGGGTTCAGGGTTCAGGGTTTTGAGTTTTGGGTTTTGGGTTTTGGGTTTTGGGTTTTGGGTTTTGGGTTTTGGGTTTAGGGCGGCGTTGCGGGTTGACGGGGTGTACGGGGTAGTGGGGGGTGGCATAACAAGCCCCACACTTTAAGCCTTAGGGCTGTTGCTACTCATCAGGATTGAGACGAGCTTGAAGTTGCGGACATCTGAGGCATTGTGCACGACCCCTGGTCGGGGTCCACATCCATGCGTCTGACAGGTTTAGGGTTTAGGGTTTAGGGTTTAGGGTTTAGGGTTTAGGGTTTAGGGTTTAGGGTTTAGGGTTTGGGTACCCTAAACCAAATAACGCCTAAACATCATAACCCCAAGCCTTAAACCGCCCAAACACCGAATAAACCTTAAAACCTAGGCCCTCAAACCCGAAACCCTGAACCGCCTAGACCTTAAAGCCCTAAACCCTAAAGCTCGAAACCGCCTAAACCTCACAACCCTAAACCCTACAAATCCTGAAACGGCCTAAACCTTAAAACCCTAAGCCCTACTACCTAAAACCCTAAGCCGCCGAAACCTTCAACCCTAGACTAGCACGAGGGCGACTCAGGGGGTCTGTTCTGTTCTGTTCTGCTCTGTTCTGTTCTGTTCTGTTCTGGCAGCACGAGCAGGATCAACTGCGGCTTAGGGTTCAGGGTTTAGGATTGAGGGTTTAGGATTTAGGGTTTGGGGTTTGGGGTTTAGTGTTTAGGGTGTCCAAGAGGTATGTGATTTACAGGGCTTAGGGCTTCAGACTTCGGGTTGAGGGTTTTAGGGGTTCAGGGCTAGGGTTTAGGGTTTAGGGCTAGGGTTTAGGGTTCAGGGCTTAGGGCTTGGGGTTTAGGGTTTAGGGTTTAGGGTTTAGAGCTCAGGGTTCAGGGGTAGTTGAAGGCGTTAAAACCCATCAACCGAAACAACCACACTCCCAACCAAATCCGACCCCGAAAGTTAAGCAGCCCTTACTTGCCTCAAGGACCCAAAACTCCAAACTCCCTAAACCCTAACTCCAAAACCCAGAACCATATTCAGGACATCTTGACGGCTTGGAGGTACCTGGGTCTGTTGGGGTTTCAGGGTTTAGGAACAGGGTTCAGGGTTTAAGTTTAGGGTTTAGGGTTTGGGGTTTAGGATTTAGGGTTTGGGGGTTAAGGTTCAGGTAACAATGTCTATCAGGGATATATAAGGATACTCGGGATCACAGAAGGGCCCAAGCCTCACACCTCTTCCTCCCGTCACGCCCCTCACCTTCTTAAAAAAACTAAGGAGCCCCCTCATCCAAAGCCTCCCCGAAACCTACAAGCTTAAAGCCAAGCCCCCCTAAGGCCTGTAAAGGCTAAGAGCCCCAACACCCTAAACCCTAAACGCCAAGTAGCCCAACCTAGGCTTCTGCGTTGAATCTCAAGAGCTCTCAACCTAGACCCTAAGACTAGGGCTTAGGGTTTGAGATTTACGGGTTTAGGGTTCGGGGTCTACTTGGTAGCCCAGTAACCATATCATAATAAGTTATAATAAGGGTACGTACCCCCCCCCCCCTTTTTTGGTTGGCTACTTTATAAGGGAACCCAGAACCCTAAAACCTAAACCCTAAACCCCAAACCCTAAACCCAAAAAAGGGTAAAGGGTACCACCGCGCTACCAAGTCTGTTTAGAGCTTAGGAGTCGGGGTCTAAGCCTCTGGCGCTTCAACTTTTAGTGGCCCTAAACCCTGAACCCTAAACCCTAAACCCTAAACCCTAAACCCTAAACCCCAAGGCCCTCTGAAGCCGAGCCCAAGTGGCTGCTGAAGGCCATACTCCCATAAACTGCTGGCAAAGCCAGAACCTCTGAGGGTTTAGGGTTTAGGGTTTAGGGTTTAGGGTTTAGGGTTTAGGGTTTAGGGTTTAGGGTTTAGGGTTTAGGGTTTAGGGTTTAGGGTTTAGGGTTTAGGGTTTAGGGTTTAGGGTTTAGGGTTTAGGGTTTAGGGTTTAGGGTTTAGGGTTTAGGGTTTAGGGTTTAGGGTTTAGGGTTTAGGGTTTAGGGCTATATAGGGATTAGGGTTTAGGGCTATATAGGGATGAGGGTTTAGGGCTATATAGGGTTTAGGGTTTAGGGTTTCGGGTTTAGGGTTTAGGGCTTAGGGTTAGGATTTGACGGATCTCCTGAGGGTTTAGGGTTTAGGGTTTCAGGGTTTCAGGGTCTTAGGGTGTCAGGGTTATAGGGTCGTAGTTAGGGTTTAGGGCGTTGAGGGTTGACAAGCTCAGGCTTTCATGTTCGCGACTGAAGCAACGATTCAATGGGGAGTGTGTCTGCTGAAGGTTCAGCGCACTTATTAACCAAATACAACTGTACTTATCACCCAAATCATAGCCTTATTAGGGCACTGAAGGGGCTTATAAGTGGGTCAGAAGTACAGTTATAATTGGCTGATAATTAAGTACCCTGAACTTCCAAGTGGTGGTCTGGTCTGCCGGCTTGCCCCGTATTGGACTGATGTGCGCCAAGCGCCGACAGCAACTTGGTCTGAGCTCCCTCAAGGCAGCTGGTGCGAACGTGTCTTCGATGATTCGCTGCTCAAGCAAGCTCCTGCTGCTGCCGCTGCTGCTTCAGCTCGGCAACTGAGAATGCTGCAGCTGTTTCAGCTCGGCAGCTATGAATGCTCCAGCCTCAGACAGAAGGCGAAATAAACTGCCGAGGCCCACGGCGCATGCTTCAGTACCCTCAGCCCGCAGGTTTAAAGGGTTTAGGGTTCAGAGTTTAGGGTTTCGGGTTTAGGGTTTCGGGTTCAGGGTTTCGTGCTTCAGCGCTTTCACTTGGAGTGTTGAAAGATGCTCGGACAAAAAGGCCTCGGAGAGTAAACCCTAAACCCTCAACCCTTACCCCTAAACCCTTAAACCTTAAACCCTAAACCCTAAACCCAGAACCTATCTTGGCTCTCCAACTCCCTAAGCCCGACTGTGCACACCACAAAGCCCTCAACAACATAAATTCAAAGCACACGCAGAATCTCCCGACACAATTTGTTGACTCAAGTCCATTCCAAAAAGAGTTCGAGATTAGGGTTTCGGGATTTAGGGGTTTACGTTTTGAGTTTAGGGTTTAGGGTTTAGTTTTAGGGTTGAGGGGCTCAGGAGTTAGGGTTTAAGGCTTACGTTTAGGGTTTAGGAGTGTAGGGCTTAGGCTTAGGGTTTAGGGACTCTCCAAGCTCCTTCTGACGCTTTGCGTCGTGAGTTTCTAAGCGGTTTCAGGGGGCTTTGCGGTTTGCGGGGTTTAGGGTTTAGGGTTTAGGGTTTAGGGTTTAGGGTTTAGGGTTTAGGGTTTAGGGTTTAGGGTTTAGGGTT